ACTTTTAGTAGTGGTATTCGATTCACCTTGGTGTCCTTGTCGTGAAGAGTCAGGGTATGTGGCAAAAGAGGCTCTAATTTGGAGTTACAACCCTCTCTTTTTTTTCTTCTTTTTCTTTTTCTTCTCTCTCCTCTTCTTGATTTTCAAGCCTACCCTTCAATTGAATTTTCCTTCACTTTTGGTCCATTTTCTTTTAATTACTATTTCATCTATTTTGAATGATTTATAAAAAAAAAAAATTAATTTAATCCTATTGGTCATTTTGGTCCATATTCTTTTGATTATTATTTTTTTATTTAGGATGGTTTTTAAATTTTATCCTTCATTTTTTATATCATATTTGATCCTTATTCTTTTGATTATTTTATTTTTTTCTTAGGAAAATTTTTAAAATTTATATTTTTCCCAATTAAATACTTCAACATTATATTTAGTGGGAATTGATCTTCTTGATTGAACCTAAATCAGGATTTTATGAGTTGCAAGTTTAGGATGTTAACCCAAGTTTAGGATATTTGCCCCAGGTTTGCTTGGTTTTTTTTTTTTTAAGGCTCATGTTTTTTTCCAATCTCATCCCTTAATATTTATTCAATTGTATATTAGGCTCCATTATTATTATTATTATTATTTTGCTTTTTATAGGGTTTTTCACTAATTTTAACAAGAACTCGGGTTATATCAAGTCTTTTTATTTGTTTTATTTGTTAAATTTGAGTTTTTTAAAATATTTTTTTGAATTAGATTAAATATTAATATGAGATGCCAACTTGATAATAGTTTGTTTGGTTTACTTTCTGAATTATTGCTTTGAAGGCACATGCGACCTCTTTAAGTGTTGTCATGAAGTCTTTTGCAATGACGATAAAATTATTTTGGTGAGCTCTTTTTATTTAAGAAGCAATGTCCATGATAAAATGATGGTAATATATTGTGTCTTTGCTTTTAGGCTTAGGATTTTGACCCAAAATCATTTTTGGTTCCTTTAGTTTAAAAATTATACGATTTCATCTCATATTTTATTTTATTCACATTTTAGTTATTAAGTTTGAAAGAGAGTTGTTGGATTATAGTGAAGGAAAGAGAAAGAGTTGGTTGTTTGGATTTCATGCACAAAAATAGTTAAATTTGATGTCAAAGTATCTCTCTTGACAAAAAGAGGTCATTGAGGTATTTTTGAGCTTCCATGTCACCTAGAAAAGTAGATCAAGATTGAGAGAGTTTTTTTTATTTGATTTTGTGTTTTAAATAAATTTGAAGGTTTTTGTAGTTGGAGGGTTAGTTTCATGAGGTTTTAGGAGTGTTTTTCATGAGTTTTTAGGTGAAGAGAGGTTGAAAAAATAATTTTAGAGTAAAAAAAAGCATAACCTGATTTTCTAGCCACATCTATAGTAGCTAGATTTTGAGCAACATACAACACATCTTCTACTATTTTTTTTTTTAAAGATAGACAATGCATTATTTGTCCATTTTAGAAAGGAAAAAAAATAATGGCTTAGGTGTTCAAGTTTGGGCGAGCAAACCCACAAGCCTATACTTATTTTTAAAGGTGCGGGTGCATTGGGCCACGCATGTCAGCTTGTTTAGGTTTTTTTTCAGTTTTTTAGAAATGAAGTTTTATAT